GACATCATCGCGGGAATAGTCAGGGAAGCTTTCTAGGACCTCAAAACGTCGAGATCTGATGAATACTCGATTTTCGAAAAACGGGGTAAAAACAATAACTTCCCGAATTTAAAAAAATTTTTAATTTTTAAGTTAAAAAATAGTCGGTTTTTTGGGCCACCCTAATGTGCATAAACAATCGAAAAAATTTTTTCATGTTGTTTCTTTGCTCCAGAAACTAGTGACCGTAAAAATTAACATTCACGGTAAGGGAATTATGAAAAGGGAAAACGTATGAATAAAATGTATCCCAATTAAAAGTAATTAAGTCTAATCATTGCTTGATTGGACATGAAATAACTAAATAAAGATTATTACCTTAGAAAACTAAGAGTCTAACACGGTGTCGTTTCGATTTAACGAAGATTCGAAAAAGTTTCGAATTATTCGAACCTTTCAAACTATTCGAATCTTTCGAACAATTCGAATCTTTCGAACAATTCGATATTCGACTCGAATCTCGAATCGAATCCTCAGATTCGGTTCGATTCGATTCGAGCAAGATTCGCACAGCCCTAATATTGACTTCAACGTGTGCCTTTTTAATAATTCCCATGCTTTTATTCATAAAAGCCAAATTTTTTTTATTCATAATTAATAATTCTGGGAGTAACATAATGACTGCAGGTTGCTGATATAAATTAATAATTAAAATTGTCTTTTATTAGAATAGAAGGGTGGATATAATTATTATTTATATTTTTAATACTACATAGAAAGTTCTATTAGTAAAATATAGTAATAATATATCTCTTCATATGTAATATGCAATATGAAATAATGCGAGTCTCTAATTTTTTTTATCTTGCATAGTTCTTTTATCGTACTAAGCACACGATGAAAAAGTTGATTAATCACGTCGACTCGATTGATACGTTTGTGAAAAGCAAATTTTTTCAAATGTGTTTCATTTAAAACTGCCATGTTTTTTACGTTGGTCTCTCAAATAAATTAAGTAAGCGGACTTTTACATAATTCAATAACTATGTTGCCCTATGAGCTTACATTGTCATAACAGTGATTATGACATTGTTTGAATATTCATGAATTTTTTTTCTACTAAATAATGTTAAAATTTTTTATAAATGTTTTTAATCTCCCATATTTAAGTTTATTAGTATTCATGTCAAATACTTATTTACAATTAAATGTTATTTTTATTTACTTATAAAATTCATAAATGCATCTATAAATTTCAATCTACAAATATTTCATTAATGAATTCTTTCATAACACAATTAATTGATTATTTTCCATCACTCATTTTACAAATATTTTCGATGGTGTTTAACATAAAATAGAATATTTATTCTAGGAGTTAATAGTATATAATAATCATGAGTATACAACACATTAATTGAATTTCTACATTAAATATATTTTTATCTTGTATAACACATGATCCATACAATTTAATACGATTAAAATTTTTATTTTGATCACGAAATTTATGAATCAAAGTAATTAATTGAAGCCAATGTAAGTAACGGATGGATGAAGTTATCAATTAAAATATTCATCAATTCAAAATATCTACTTCCTCTCTGATGCTTAGCGTATACTCTGCTCCTCCTCCTCCTCCTCCTCCTCTTAACAACGCTCTATGCAACCGTTGTTTAGCAACAAGGCCACCAAATCCACACCAAGTTTTTATTTGGAGAAGATAAATTAGAAATGAAAATTCTATTCTTAGAAGAAAATATTTTCTTCATATGAAAGATCTGAATTACTATATTGAAAAGAAGTAAATGGATCACGGCTGTTAAAAGCAAAATAGTTTTAGAGAACAATATTATCGATTTTTAACAGTACAAAGCCGTAGTTCTACTTACTTATGAATAATCAGTTTTCAATAAAAATTTAATATTAAGTCAATTTTATATTATAAATATTACCTATATATAGAAGAGATAAAAAATAAATATTCAAAAATCCAGACAAATCTGAATTTCAAGGAAAAAAAACAATCATGGCTTTTGAATCGCCTTCACAAAAACGAAAAGCACCACCACCACCACCATCATCATCGCGATTACGACGACCATCATCACCACCACCACCACCACCACCACCACCACCATTACCATCACCACCACGACAACGACCACCACAACCATCACTAGCATCAACGTCGTCACCACCACCATCGAAACCTACGGTGGATGAAGCTTCTCCAGCGATGAAACAAGCAGTTCAAATTTACAAGGAGAGAAATGGTATTAAAGATTCAAATTTGAATTCTGCTTTTCCCATTCGAAGCATATCAAACTCAAGCGAATACAGTGAAGAATTTAAACGAGATTCGAGTCAAAAGAGTACTGCTGATTCTTCATATGGAAATAAACAACCGCTTTTAGCGAGAGTTCTTAACTCATTAATTATAATTACTCCTATAATAATAGTCGGCTTTATTGTATATAAAAATACAGAAACATTTTTGAAAATATTATCTATTTTATGTTTATCTCTCTCGATAGTATTTTATACCTTTGAGAAGTTTAATATCAACGTTTGGAAATTTACAAAAAAAAACGTAGCCTAACCTAAGAATAAGATTCTTGATATTTATGAAGATATACCAGTTTTCATCATGTTAAAGAAAATGTAATTATATTCAAAATTAAAAAATGAAATTTTCGTTAATTCATAATTAGAAGAAGCGTAAAATACTGAAGAAATTGAATCTTTTACTTATTTAATAATCAATATTATTGGAAAATATAATTATTTATTATGAAAAAAATTATTTTTTGATTTATAATGGTTTGTTTAGATGTAAACTTTAAAAATACTCCACAGTTAATTGGGAATCAATAATATAAATAAATAAAAACAAATTTTATGAACAAAAATTTTGATTATTTTACGCTATAATTAGATAAAAAAATAAACGATTAAAATTATTATAACCTTCTAAATTAAAATTAAAAAATTTTCAAATATTTTTACTATTTATTAGATAAAGAGAAAGCCTCAGTAAATTTCCACAAAACTTTTAACCAATTGTTAAAGTTATATTGAGATAAAAAAAAGTTAATCCAAAAATTTTCAAAACTAAATTCGTATTATTAGACAAGAAAACAAAGTCTAGATTGAATAAATAATTATCAAAAGTATCTTACGTTAAAATTGTAAAAATGAATCGATTGTCAGTTTCAAGTCTTGGTAACAGGTTTAACAATGTTGTGAAGAAAATAGCTTTAACACCGGAATGTGAAGCATTATCAGGTGCTTTGACAAAATCTGTTTTAGTTCACTTGGGAGTTGGTCTCCTAAGTTTTATTATATTACTTGCTGTAACTTTAATTAAATTAACGAACCAAAAGTTTGAAGAACTCCAAAACGACATGTTTTTCTGGTCAAACGTTGGAACTACCACACTTAGTTTGGTTAATGTTATTGTTGGACTTTGGCAACAAAAAGCGGCGAAGAAAATTGATGAATGTATTTCAACGGGATCATCATTGTAAGATTTTATGTAATAATACAGACTTTATAAACTTAATATTAGAAAGACATATTTCATACCAGATTTGTTTCAAAGTAAAGATGTAAGTGAAATCAAGTATTTATTATCAATTTAATAGTTAAAAACAAAAATTTAATTATACATGTATAACAATTTGACTATTTTATAATTATTACAATTTTTTTTAAATAAAAAATAAAAAAAAATTTAATTGCCAATTTGAAAACCTTGAATTATTGTTTTGTTTTTGTTTTTTTTTTTTTTTTTTTTAAGAATAATGGAGGTTATAAAAGTACAATGGAGATACAAAAATGTTGTTTATATTTATAAAAGTCTAAATTAACGGCATAGTAACTTTATATTTTTTTTTCTTAATGTCTGAGATTAATTTTTAATTTAATTTGTTTTTTATAAAAAAATTGGTTAAAATTACAATTCACTTAAATTTTAAGATCAAACAATGGCATTGTTTCGAAGTTATTAAATAGAATAAAAAAAATTGCTTGCATATTTTTCGTATCATTTTACCGATAGATTTTTACGAACATTTGCTTCTCTAGTTACGGTCAGCAAGCCCAGTTGACATCGAAAAAATATTTTCTTTGAATCCTATTATAAAACAAAATTTAACTTAGTTCCAAAATTTATCGTCAATTGAATTTTTGAACTTGCAGAACTGAAAAAATAATAGGACGCTATAAGCTTAAAGAGCTTGATGAGCTCAAAAGTTATCAACAAAAAATTTTTTAGCTCAAAACCAACTGGAAGTTTCAGTAAAAACTATTTATATCATGCTATAATAATTTTTTAGATATTTTTTTTACAAGTATGTTATTATTTAAAATTTTGTAGTTTACACTTTTTAATTTTTTATCTAAAAGATATGAATTTCCTTAAAAACTAATTATCGATAATTAGCTGCCATTTTTTTAATGGAAACATTAGTTTTCTCAAAAAAAAAAAAAAAAAAAAAAGGGTATAACAACAATGATCTAAATTTTTTGTAAAAAATACAAATTTCAATTTCACAAGAGAAAAAAAATTTTAACAATATTACTGTTAAAATATTTTTTCGTTCCATTAAAAATTTAAACATCATATGATAAAAATGAATAAATCATATTATCGATAAGCATTTTTTAAAATTGTCTTCATGTAATCGGATTTATTGACATTTATTTTGTCTTTTTGACTAACGACAAAACTTTTAAATAAAAAAATGAGTCATTAGTTCACGATAAATAACTCTGATTGTCTAACAACAATATTATTCACCTCGCGATGCCGCGAAAACTTGTGTTTGCTACTAGACCCACAATAAATCAATCTCCATCAAACGAATATAAAATATTTCGTCCAGGATTTAGAGAATTCAATAGAACACCTTTATTACCGGGAAAGTTATTTAAAAGAATAAAAGAAAATGCCGCTGGTAACAACGATTGCATGGGCTTACAATTAGAACAATCGCCAATAAGTACTCAGCATATGGAATCCGATCAATTACAGACAAGTATTATAAAAATTGGAAACCTTTCGCCTACGCCAACAGTCTACGCTAATTATGAAGTTACAGAACACAAAATAATTCAATTTAAATAGTCAATTTTTTATTCTTTGCTTACTTCAAATTATAAATAAAAAAAAAAAATGTTTTCTTTAGTTGCGTGAATGTAGAAGCGATAGTATTTTGTTAAAATTAGATTTATATTGTGACTTAAATTAAGATCCGGTTACCTTGGAGAGTGAAAAAACAACGAAACATTACATCAAACAGATCATTGAACTAATATTAACATCCTCGATCTTTTGAACCCATTAATAAATCTTTCATAAGCGTTTTGATTTCTTACGTTTTAAAATTAATAAAACTAATTCGATTGAGTATATTATTTAAAATTTAAACATTTAATAAAATAAGAAAAAATGCGTGAGATCGTTCATCTTCAAGCTGGTCAATGTGGCAATCAAATTGGTGCTAAGGTAATTATTACTGTTATTTATTTATTTTTTTTTTATATTATTTTCTAAAAACAAAAAAATTTTTGAAATTATTTATTTAAATTTTGTTTAGTTTTGGGAGGTGATATCAGACGAGCATGGAATTGATCCAACCGGAACCTATCACGGAAACTCAGACCTCCAGCTGGAGCGCATCAACGTCTACTACAATGAAGCAACTGGAGGAAAATACGTACCTAGAGCAATTCTAGTTGATCTGGAACCTGGAACAATGGATGCTGTTCGTTCAGGGCCTTTTGGCCAGATATTTCGTCCGGACAATTTTGTGTTCGGTCAGAGTGGTGCAGGGAACAATTGGGCCAAAGGTCATTACACTGAGGGTGCTGAATTGGTGGACTCTGTGTTGGATGTGGTCCGAAAAGAAGCTGAAAGCTGTGACTGTCTCCAGGGATTTCAACTTACTCATTCACTTGGCGGAGGCACTGGTGCAGGAATGGGCACGCTCTTGATTTCTAAAATACGGGAAGAATATCCAGACCGCATTATGATGACTTTCAGTGTTGTCCCATCGCCAAAAGTAATTTTTATTTTTTAATATTTACTATTCAAGGGATTCAAGGGATTAGAGTTGAAAAGGTGTAATCTAGAAGAATTTGGTAATTTTTTCAAATATATTTTCTCTGAAAGATATTTTTTGGGTTCAAAATTAGTGTAATAAAAATTGTTGCTTACATCACTTCAGTTCTAACCTCTTGAATTTAAACAAAAAAATTTCATCAGCAATAAACATTTTTTAAATTCAATCGACAGTTTGTCTTCCCTGAAATCTTCTAGTTGTGTTTTAATTTTTTTAAAAGTCTCTAACATTCCAATAAAAAAATTTGTTATTTTTTAAAAAGGAAGTATTAAAAAATATTTGGCCTATTAAAATAACAAAATTTTAAATCAACAAGGAATTTTGAACAAACGCAAAAATTCTTTATAAAAAAACAAATTCTTTAAATTTCTTTAAATCATTTTTTTTTTATTCAAAAAAAATTCTATTCTTCTTTGAGAATATTCTAACGATAAAAAAAATTAAATACATTAATTTTTTTTTAATTTATCGAATAATTTAGAATAAAACTTAGGTAAAAAAAATGACTCGTATTTTTATTGGCAAGACTTATAAGTTTGAATATTCATAAAAACACCATTTTTATCCATTTGAGATATAATAAAATAATAATAATCCTAACAAATAAACGAATAAACTTAAAAAACTAATTTTCCGTCATTGTGTTAAAAAAAGTTTGTGTAAAAAATCTTTATATTAAATATTTAACATTTGCGTGTTGATAACCCTATTTTACTAAATTAACGCACTAAAGTGTTAAGAAATCGAAAACTAATATTTTTTAAAGCAATAACAAAAAATATTTACAGTGTAAGCTCAGACATATTTTTCTGTTAGTAAAAACACAAAAAAAAAAAAAAAAAAACATTTTTACACAAAGTATAAGGTTTTATAAATCTATGAATTTTAAGGATTTTCTATTTTTTTATCGACGAAGATTCTTAAAATTATATAAAAAAAATAAGATTTTTTGGAAAAAGTATCCTTTTATTCTTTATCCTATTTTTTCTCTTCAATTATGTATCTATTATTTTTCCAATTAACACTATAAAATAAACTATTTTTTAAGGTATCTGACACGGTAGTGGAGCCCTACAATTGCACATTATCAGTCCATCAGCTGGTAGAAAACACGGATGAATCTTACTGCATTGACAACGAAGCACTCTACGACATTTGCTTCCGAACTTTGAAACTAACCACTCCAACCTACGGAGATTTGAATCACCTGGTCAGCGCAACGTTAAGTGGCGTTACAACATGCCTGAGATTCCCTGGTCAACTAAATGCAGATTTACGAAAGCTTGCTGTCAACATGGTACCATTTCCCCGTCTTCATTTCTTCATCCCCGGGTTCGCACCACTGACATCCAGAGGCTCACAGCAATACCGAGCACTCACCGTTCCTGAATTAACCCAGCAAATGTTTGATGCCAAAAATATGATGGCTGCTTGCGATCCTCGTCATGGAAAGTACCTCACCGTGGCGGCTGTTTTTCGCGGCAGGATGTCTATGAAAGAAGTCGATGAACAAATGCTGAACATACAAAACAAAAACAGCACTTACTTCGTCGAATGGATACCAAGTAACGTGAAGACAGCGGTCTGTGACATTCCACCGCGAGGTTTGAAAATGTCTGCGACTTTCATTGGAAATTCTACTGCCATCCAGGAGCTTTTTAAGCGCGTTTCTGAACAATTTACCGCCATGTTCAGACGCAAAGCATTTCTTCATTGGTACACTGGCGAAGGGATGGACGAAATGGAGTTCACTGAAGCTGAGTCTAATATGAATGACTTGGTCTCTGAGTATCAACAGTATCAGGAAGCTGCGGCAGATGAAGAAGGAGACTTTGATGAAGATGAAGAAGGCGAAGATGCTTGAATGCGCTGGATCATTTTTTCTTTGTTCCATTTTTTTTTCTTTTGTGATTTTGACTTTGAGAGAAAGTTAAAAAATTTGTTTTTTTTTTTTTTTATAAAATCATCCCAAACTATTATTAAAATTACTATTTAATAATTTTAAAATGGGATTCGTACACAGTAAGGAATTTTTTGTTAAAAAGTTTGTATGAAAAATATTTAACAAAAAAATTTTACACAAACTTTACAGAAAATTTTTTACAGTGTAAAATTTTAAATTGCATTACTTTGCTTTATTGACCATTTAATTATAAATGTTTTATTATTGGTTAGTAACATTGCATAATTAATTAATTATTAAAAAATTGGTGATTAAAATTTTAATCAGATATACGGGAAATTGACTAATTTAATAAATTGAAATTAAATATGTTATTTATTAAATGAAATTATTAAAGACAGCAACGTTGATATTTATCGTGATGACTCAAGATTATAAAGTTGTCGATAAACCATTAACCTATCTAACAACAACGTTAATTATAATGTTTATCTTTATAATTTTAGTCTTCAATATTGTAATAATATATTTTATAATCATGCAAGAAGAGAAATCTCGTTGTCCTTACTCTACAAACAATTCACACAATTCTAAGATGATTAGTAGTTATATGGCAATTGTAACCTTTGTCCTAAACTTGAAAGAATGTAATTATTCAAGGAACAAAAAATAAATATAATACTCTAGTTAAAAATCAATAATGAATAATATAATTTGTTTTTTATTATTATTGTAGATCATAGATAATTAAGTGATTAGAAGGAGACCTTGAAAAAATTTCTTAAAAACAATAACAGTAACTATAAAAATATTTTAACGACCTCGCATCTCTCTTTACAGTTGATCGCTCATGGTGTCTCCTTCGTGGGTGTGTCTATTCATTTTGTTTTTACGCTTGACAGCCCAAGTTCCCAAGGTGTATGAAAAAAAGTATAAAAATGCGCATATAACATTATAATTATAATTATATACACGCAGGTGATCATGTCTTTTTGTTTCAAGGTATCAACAGTAGCCACTAAAGTGAATAACTTTTTTTCTCACGACAAATTCACTCTGAGCGATTTCTTCTTTTGTAATTTAATAACGTTGGCCTTCGCGACCCTACCTCTGTATCTCTTCAACGTGGATCATCGATTATCGATCCTTGGAATTGAAAGATCGGGTATGAGGATCAAACGAGTGATAAATCCTACATTACATCCCCGCAATGACTTCGATTGATCCATCGAGAAGGGCATCAGCATCATTGTCACGCTCTAACGCTTCTAGTGTGACTCTGCACCGTAAGTCTACGAATGGGGGAAATTTTTTTCCTAGCCTTCGCTATCACAACACACAACGCATTGTCTGTCCATTCTCTCAAGATTCTTCTATTGATGGGGTATATAAGAGATCCTAGGGATAGGACAGAATCAGATACTTCTGTGTTTACAACAGCAACTATAACAAAATGTTCAAGCTGGTAAGTGTTTCTTTAAACATTTGATCATTTTCATCAATTATTATATTCAATATTTCACTAAACGGAAAATAAATATATTTTTTTTTTAATTTAAAATTCTCTTTTAAATAATTAATAGCCAAAAATTTATCATCTTTAGTTTTGTTAAAAAAAAAATTAATTAATGATAATAAAAATATTTTTCTAAAATTATAATTATAGATTTTTTTAATTTATTCACGAAAAATTATTTTTAAATTTTATTTAAAAATGAAAAATTCTAAAAATCAATATCCAAATTTTTTTATCTGCTAGCTTCATTACTATAAAAAAATTTTGTTCTTATACAATACCTTTACATTTTTTATCTTCACTCGAAAAATAACTAAATTTCTTAGTGAAAAAAGTACAAAACAATTAAGTAAAAAAAATAAATATCGATACTCTAAGTTTATAATTATAAAAAAGAAATAATTAAAAATAGTAAAATTTTAATTTGCCGAAAATTAAGCAAGAAAAGAAACTTTAATGAATTATTTCAATACTTGTCTAACAATGTCAATGATCACCACTAGCCAATAAAATGAATAAAAATTGACTATTATTTTTTTCAGGTGGTTTTCTTAGCCCTGGTGGCCTACGCTTCTGCAGGATCAGGACTTGTAGCTCCATACGGTTACGGTCACGGATACTCTTATCATAACTATCCCAGTGTATACCATGCTCCAACAGTGAGCTACTCACCATCTGTGTACCATACTCCTCTTGCTACCAGCTACGCAAACACTCATAAGGTATAACATTGTCAATATTTAAAATAATTAAATTAATAGATAAATATTGGATATTTTATCTTAATTGGTATTTATATTTTTATTTTCCAAAAGATCGCCTACTCCGCCCCCGTAGTGACTAAAGTACTTGCGGCACCAACAGTCACTAAAATTCATTACGCTACTCCAGTTGCCGCTTACGTTGCGCCTCATTACTCTGGATTGAGCTACGGTCATGGATACGGTTCCTATGGTTTAGGACACGGATATGGAAGTGGATACGGATACGGCAATTACGGCCATGGTTATGGTTTGGGACACGGATACGGTGTGGGACATGGTTATGGATACGGACACGGATACTGGCACTAAATTCCAAAAATTGAACTAAATTAAATGAAAGATGTAAACTTAAGTACCCAAGGACGGATGTAAATAATCATTGTTTTTATATGAATTTTATTTTTTGGATAATAAATATTTTTGCAATTCTTTAATTACGAACTTTTTATTTATCAATTGATTCATCTGATATTTAAATAAACATAAGGCAATTAGTGATATTTACAACAATAAATTTTTAGATAAAGAATATAAAATCAAAACTAATTAAGGATTGAATCATTTATTTTAAATTAGGACGATTTTTTACATTCTTAGAATTTTTCAGCTTTTCATTTAGCAAATTCAATAATTTTGCCATAAAGTTTTGTTTATAAATTATATACCGATAAAAAAAAAATTAAATTGATTCAAGAGCAAAAATCTTAAGTCAAGAACATCATTTAAAAGAAAGTTTTATTTGTTTGAGCATATAAATTTTACTTGATCCAAGAATATTTCTTCTTAGTTCAAGAGAACTTAATTTTTTAAAATAATTGTCCTGGTTTAAGATTTTTGCTTTTGAATCAATTTAATTTTTTATTTGCGTACAATAAGCTAGAATAGTATTTAAAGGTGGACAGATATATTATGCAAATCCATCAAGCCGTTTAGGCTACACAATGTGCGAGGCACATAAAAATAAAAATTCGTACATTCATCACTCGAAAAACACATACTCCCTTTTTTAGGCTTCTATTAAGGTGTCTATTTATTTCTTTCTTTTTTCTATATTTTTCGCTATCATATCGTTGATAAATTATTAGTGGAGATCCTCTATCATTTCTTTCAAGAATATCTTGTCTTCTTTTTATTTTATAAAGGAAAGTATGACCATCAAATTATAATTTATAACTGTAATCGGCCGATAGCTAATTTTTGAAAACTGTTAAATAAATTTAAAGAAAGTGACAGCAAAAAAATTTCACATGAAGAATTTTTCAAAACTTACAAGACAATTTTTTTATTTCGGTGGTGATTAAATTTAAAAAAAACTTTTAAAAACAGCCCACTATATTATCTCGTATAAAAGGAGATATCAAATTATGTCATCAAATCATTAATTTAAAATATGTAAGATTAACAGATAATCAGATATTAAAAAATTAACTCAAAAAAGTAAAACATTGCCGTTAGATAATTTTTAAAAAACAGAAATTTTTATTCTTGATTTTTAAAGAAATTTTATGGTTTTATTTGTTTTACAGCTTTTATATGCAACTGTTCCTTATATTTTTTCAAACTTATACCTTTACGTTCAATAAGTTTGGTAAATTGATAAAATAATAATTTTAATAGGTTTAGAATTTCTTTTGTCTAATTTACGAGAAAATATAGAAAAAATTAATGGAAAAACGGAGTAAAAAATAAATATATATACAATTGTAAATGATGAAAACCCTCAATTCTTTACATTTAAATTCAATAGTTTAAAATGATTTCATAATAACCTATTATTGTAATATGTCTTTTTTCTCCTTCAATAAAATTTCATTGATAAAAGTATATTAATTTAGTCATTTCATAAACTACTTAGTGCCACGTGAATAATTTTAAATGCAATCGAAATAAATATAACAATATTATATTGCTAAATTCTTAATTAAAAACATCAATCAAATTTTAGCTGCGTGTTTTTCGATTTCTTTAAATTTTATAAGACCTACCTATATATTTTTGTCAAAAATGTTTCAAAACATATATGTAGTTGAAAGGTATTATTTACCCTAGCTGTAATCTATGGATAGCAAACAATACAAGCTTCCAGACTTTTAAATATCACCTCTTCAACTGAGTACTTATGGTTAGTAGTCGAAAGTCGAAAAGAGATAGAATACTTGCGTCATACGAGACGCAGATGAGGTAAAAAAAATACTTGAGGTACACACTGGAGTGGATCAAGGTTGAGGCGAGGCAATGATTTTATCTCTTAAATAAATCTTAAACATCCCAAGCTTTGTTCTTTATTGTATTATGATTTTGTGCATTATGTTAAATTGATTTCGTAAATCTAATAAGTATAGCTTTATAGTCAAACTTGAATAACTTCTTGTTTAAAATAATCAGATGTATATATGCAACCGATCATGATTTAACATGTTATTCTATATTAATTTATACTTAAAAGTTATTATTGAAGTATTTTTTATGCACCAAATAAATTAAAAAACTCTATAGCACCTTTGAAATAATTACGTGTTTTTTTTTTTTGACAAAAAATCATCTTCAGCTTGATCTTTAATCCCAAACACTTTTATTTAAGTAACTTTGCTTCATGAAATTCTAAAAAAGTACAACTAAAAAAAGGAGTGTGAAAAATTTGAAAAAAAAAATTTTAAACCAAGTTAGTAATTTTTTTAATGAATAATATAATTTATTCTGTTAAAAAAATACATAACTCTTCGGCTACAAAAAAATAAAAATATATGAAATGAACACAAATTTTTCTTATCGTATTAATAACTTTTAATAATTAAAATAGAGAGTTTCCGATTTTAATTCAACGTTTACAAACATAAAATCAATTCATTGTTGAAAATAATAAAAACGTGAGAATTAAAAGAAGTGAATGACGCCTTCAGATCAGTTAGTGCTAATTGAGATATAAAAAATTTCCTGCAGTTAATTGATTGTTTTGTTTAATAATCACGCCGAGATAGCTTGGAAATTAGTATTTTTTTTTTTTTTTTTTTTTATTGAGAATTCCTTCTTGATAGAAATAAAATAAATGAAAATGTCAATACAAGAGATTATAATTAAAAGTTTTAATTTACAATACATCTTGATTGATTTTTAATTCATTATTCTAATTAAAAAATGTTTACCTTTTTTTTAGCAATTTTGTAAAAAACTTACGAATAATTTTCTTTCATAATTGATATATTTAATCACTTTAAATTCAACAATTTATTTTTCAATCATTCCATAACTCGATTTATCCAAAAAATTACATTATGGTAACGTCATACAAGAAGATTTAATGGGTGGACCAGTTTATGCATTATACAAATCTAAAGTTATGCTCATATATTACTGATTGCACAACTTTAGTGGGTACAATGATGATGAAAGTGGAACAGAGATACACAGTAAAAATCGCTGTCAATTTTGAGATTAAGATAAATCGATATTGTGACTTCTTTCATCAATCTGAGTGGCATACATAATTTGACGCACTCCATTAATAATGATCCATCGATTATTGAATAGACTTAAGTTAACAAAATTGAAATATGTTGATACAATGTTCAAATCTTAAAAAAAAAAAAATAAATAAATAAATAAATAATGTCTCTCATGCTTAATAGGTAAATTATTCTCGAATACTAATAAAATTTTAATTAATAAAAAATTGTGAGCAGAGTAATTTGTCTGGCGAGATGAGTTCTTCAATTCGAAAAGCCCTCGAACATTGAATTGCGCGTACACCAGACAGGTTAGAGATCTCTCTTTCTTCAAGATCCAAGGTCATGCAAGATCAGGCTCATACATGTTGAGGGTCGTTGGGCCATTTTTTTTGCTCGTTGCAAAGTCGAAAGCAAAATTAGCACACATGTATGAATCTTGAATGTGGAGGTTACAAGGACCAGATATTGTTGAGTTGAGGATATAAAAAGAGCGGTCGTCGCCGAAAGAAGCATCAAACAGTCGACGACCAAGTCGAAGAACGTGCTAATTTTGCTTTAAAGTAAAACTATAACTAAAAGTTATCAGCCATGCTGAAGTTCGTAGTGTTGGTTGCATTCGTTGCTTGTGTGTCTGCTGCACCACAACCCGGCCATCTTCTTGCTGCAGCGCCTGTTGTTGCTGTTCAACCTTTGGCAACTAGCTCATCTCATAGCTACCGTGCACCAGTAGCCAAGGCTGTCGTACCAGTGGTTCCTGCTGCACCTCTAGTGAAGACCATTCCTGTTGTTCACGCAGCTCCGATTGTCAAAGCAGCACCTCTCATCGCTCATCCAGTTCACATAGCTCATCCAGTTCACACCATCCCAGTCGCCCACACTGCCATCATTCATCACTAAACTTCGGCATCACTGTATCTGTATCAATTTTAGTTATTTATTTTCATGGTAAAAATGATTTGATTCTTTCTGTATAATAAAATATGCAATCATCTTAATCCATTGTTTTCTTGTTTATAGTCCTTTTAACTTTTTATTAGTATAGTAATTTTATTATATAAGAGTAGACTTATTATTTTAAGTAAGTTTAAGTATATATAAGTTTCCGACGTTCATTTCGATTATTTGGAGCATTCAGGTTGGTTATCATTGAAATTTTATCGGTGGAATTGTCAAATAGCTGTTTTCTGACATCCTGTGCTTAATCAAAATTATAGATGGAGTTGAAGGGTATAATTTCTATTATTACGCATAATGAAGAAGCAAAGATGTGTTAAGAAAATCTGAAAAATGGTTGAGTAGTTTTGGTCGCCAAACTTGTTGCTATTTTCAAATTCAAACTGAAGTTACAAAATGACAAAGTGCATTTTCTAAAACTGTTATAAGACTGAGATCTTAGCAATTTCAAAGTTTAAAAATCTAAAAAGCGGTTGATCCTGCAAGCCATCTCTAGAACTTTCCAATATTTTCAAGCTTGAAACGCTCTAAAATTTGTCTATCACGCAGTTTGGAGCTTTTCAAGCTTACGAATATAATTTTATAAATTATTGAGCTCCAAAATCTAGTATAGTTGCATTACTAAAACTCTTTTTTGAAAATTTTAGCTTGCGAAATCTTCCGAACAAATCAACGGATTTTTATGCAATTGTCGACATTTAACGTTATTTTCTTAGAATAACAAATTCACTTGCTACCCAAAAATTTTCCGATAAAAAATTTAGATATAAGATATAAAAAATTTTTTTTTTTGCAAATTTTTCGTTAAATGTTAAATATTTAAAAGATTTTTTTAGTCGGATTAAAATAAAAAAAAAAAAAAAAAAAAAAAAAAAAAAAAAAAAACAGTAAGAATAGTGAGAAAAATTT